CGGGAACACGTGCATTCTGGTCTCTCGCCAAAGCTGTCCAAGGGAACTTCTATTAGCCATCTCTGCCATCTCCGCACAGGGTGGCCGAATCACTGGCCCATGCCGCAAAGGAGCACTGGTTTTAATGCGTCTTTTCCGGTACTCCTACTCCCTAGGCGTAGTACTGAACACATGGAAGACAGCTTTGGTGCACCCGATTCCTAAAAAAGGCGACCGCTCAGATCCGTCCAACTACAGTCCTATCGCTATTACTTCCTTGTTCTCCAAAGTAATGGAAACTATTATTAACCGGTTCAGTGCGGATGGCACGCCAGGCATGCCATCGATTACTTTTGTGTGTGGCGTATAACACGCGAGTCATGTCTTTTTAAAAATCGTTATAACTCGCTCAAATTGCGTTTTTGGAAAATTTATCCAGAACAAAATATTCATTATTTTGAAGTAGTTTATGCCTACAGCTTCGTTACTGGATATTTTAAAAATTTGAAATTTTTAGGGGTTGACAACATTTTTTTCACTTGTACATGGTACTCTTTTTACTTTGTGGGTTTTAAATCATGTTGTGGAAAAATCGTCTAATAAGTAACAAATAATAGCACCCATTGCGATCGCTCACAAACTCAAGTTGTAAATAAATTTCTGGAAAACAAGTATCCTGTTAAAAAAAACAACGCGTTTGTGTTATTGTTTAATTTCGCTTAAAATGGTCGAACTGCCGTTTTATAACTATCATCATGGCCGAATAGACCTACGAAGTACCATGTGCTCTTGTGATTTGGTATAAGGTTTATTTTTGTTTGAAACTGTTCGAAACCGTTCATGCATAAAAAAAGTTCGCTAATAATAAGTCTTTTCTCCGCCGCCGTATAGCTCCGGCGTTTTTTTCCTTTTGAAAACACTTATTCTGCTATTATTATTATTCTATTGCTATTCTTACTAAGTAGACGTTTTCAGATCGACTTTACTTTTACATTTGTATAACATTAAATAATATTTAAAAAGGTTTGTAATCACTGCATAAAAAAGTCACTTACTCTCAATTTCAAAGAAAACACGTAGAAAAACACGTAATTACCCACTAAAAACAAGTACCCTTCCGTTTGTAACGGATGTTTGATGTCAACTAAAACTTAATTAGGTCTAAATAAGTGAAAAAATCATAAAAAAGAAAATTATTTTTACACATGGCTAATGACACGCCTATTCTGTGACGCTTGACACGCCAGGCGTGTCGTGAAATATTTGTTGTCGGTGTCGGTTGTCGGTGCCGCAACGAATCGGTTAACAGCTAGCTCATGCGGTACCTTGAGGATCACCAGCTGATTAGTAACCGCCAGTATGGTTTCCGTCGAGGTCGCTCAGCGATCTTTTAGGTTACCTAACTCATAGATGGGCGGGGGCAGTGGAGTCCAAGGGGGAGGCGTTGGCCTTTAGTTTGGACATAGCGAAGGCCTTCGATCGGGTTTGGCACAAAGCGCTGCTTTCGATGCTTCCTTCCTACCGGCTTTCCGAGAAATTGTGAAATGTGATCACCAGTTTTCTTGCAGATCTGAGCATCAAGGTTGTAGTAGACAGTACATGCTCCAATTGCAAGCCCCTTAACGCTGGTGTTCCACAAGGCTGCGTGCTATTACCAACGCTGTTTCTTCTGCATATCAATGATGTGTTGCAAACTGGTAACATACATTGCTATGCAGAGTCTCTGGTGATACTTTATACACCGGCCGTGCCAATATTTCTCGGGAAAACGTCGCCGAGTACCGGAGCAAACTTGTGTCTGAAGTCGAGTCTTTGCTGAACAAAGTCTTGGACTGGGGGCGACTAAATCTAGTCCAGTTCAATCCCAGAAGACACAAGTTTGCGCGTTTACCGCTAAAAAGAACCTCTTTGTCGTATCTCCTCAGTTTCAAGGTATTCCCCTTGTTGCCTCAGCTAGTATCGGAATCCTCGGCGTCGACATATCGAGTGATGTGCAGTTTCGTGGTCACTCTGAAGAGAATGCCAAATTGGCTCTAAAAGCTTTGCGTGCTCAGCATAGCGGGACAGTATTTCATGCCCGTACACCACTTACAACTTTACATGGCGCGGGTTCGGTCCCACATGGAATACTGTTGCCATCTCTGTGCAGGGGCTCCCCAATGCCAGTTCCTACCACTTGACCGCATCCAGCGCAGAGCGGTTCGAATCGTCGACGACCGAGTTCTTTCCGATCGGCTTGACTCACTGGCACTGCGTAGAGATGTTGCATCTTTTTGCGTATTTTATCCCATCTACCACGGGAAGTGCTCTGAGGAATTGTTCGGACTAATTTCAGCTGCTCAACTTCACCATCGCACATCGTGACAACACTCGCTATACCATCCATACCATCTGGATGATTGGCGGTTCACCACTGTGCGATTTGGAAGAAGTTTTCTTCCTTGCACTACTTCCTTGTGGAATCGATTACCACCAGCGATTTTTCCGAACCGATACGACTTAGGGCCTTCAAGAAAAGAGCTTACTCCTTTTTAAAAGGCCGGCAACGCATCCGCAATTCCCCTGGTGTTGCAGTTGTTAATGGGCGGCGGTAGTCACTTACCATCAGGTTAGACTTTATGATCGTTTGTCACCCTTATTCTTTAATTAATTTTTTTTAAAACCATTACATTTATAAATTATAGACGGGATGCACAAGGGATTCACCAATCTCCTTGAATTAAAAGCAAGTTCTTCGTTCACTTTTAATGATTTTTCTCTAAAGGTTTAATAAAATTGAGGTCATTTCAAAGTAACAACCTTTTTTTTAAATAAAATAAAAATACTTTTATCGCAATAACTATAATCGTATCACAGTATCGGGTCACTGACCACATAATGAAAACTAACTTTTATCATTGTTTTAATAAAAAGAAACATTATCAAAAGGCGATAACCTTTTTTGGGTTTTGCGTAATTGCTTATGTATTCTGGTTATCAATTGTCTATGGTATAACTTCACAGACTAAATATACGTAAATATATTCAAATATTTCGAGGTTACTATTTAATAATGTATCTTGAGTCCCTGTACCGTTGCGCCGTCAACGGGAGTGTTGCAAATGATGGTTATTTTAATGTCCATATCTTTAAAAGAAAGAGGAATGAAATTAAATGCAAGTAAAATGAAAGTAATTGTTTTTGAAAGAGAAGAAAGTAATAAGTAGGTAGGTGAGGATAATATTGTCACCTTAAGCTTTGCCGCCCTATAAAACCAAAACTTGGAGGAGAACAGAGACAAAAACACAAAATCGTACTGTAACTAATATATTCCAAAATAACAAATAAGCTTTGGCAATAATTAGGAACACTTCTAAAAATCAACTTAAAAAAACTTACTACACTACACAATACTAAAATCGACTAAAATTTTTACTATGTTTTCAACATCGATAAAGCGGCGCCTTTTTTGACCCTTTATTATTTGAATGACTGATGAAGAGCTATCGTATCACAACGCCATCTATGCAAACGAGGCTGTAGTTTTTGAATTATAAGTGACCATATTACCCGAATGACCATATTACCCTCACGTGCTATATGACTAGGGTTGCCATCTGGCCGGCTTTAGCCGGACATGTTTGGCTTTTTCGGGTTGATTCCGGCCAAATTTTTATGTATCCGGCCTATCCAGCTTTTGTTAGGCTTTTTGTTAGCGTAACGCGGTGCACGCATCACTTGCAGAATAAATAAATGAGTAACGTATACACTTGAAAATGTGCTGTGATTGATTAATAAACAATTAAGGGCGCGACCACACGGCGCGTTGCGACAGCGTTGCGTCGACGCAGCGCTGACGTTGCGTTGTTTTACATACAAATAACCAAGGTGTTCACACGGTGCGCTGCGTCGGCGCTACGCACACATGACGGACAGCAGCCCCCGAGACGAAGCGGGAGGGGGTGTACTCATTGCGACGTCGGAGCGGCAGCGCTCAGTTGCTTGTGCGTTGATAGGGAGGATACACGCAAGCTCATTTTATTTTTTACGTACTTTTGTATTCAGTTTTATTTGCAGGGTAAAATGAGTACCATTGAAGAAATTGACATGGATTACTTCATTACATTGATTCAGAAAAGGGAAATTGTATGGGACAAGTCACACGTAGATTTTAAAAATAAAAATTTAAAAACAAAGCTTGGGAACAAATATCAAAAGTTTTATTTCCTGATTACGAGAATTTCACACCTGAACGAAAAAACAAAGTTGGTGAGATTACAGTATACAAATTTATTGTTTTTTTTAAATAAATAGTATTATACCTTATTTAGCTGCCAAGGCAGAGTTCCTCTATTCATAAAATAGGTCGCAAAATGCTATCTTATGACATTCGGTGCTGTCTGTTCTTCATCTGCGGATTGTATTGGGAGAAATTCATCAACACTTATAGCAAATTTATCTCTTTGTCTAAAACCATCTCTATCAGCGACAAAATTGTGTAGTACACAACATGCTTTTATTATGTCAGTAGCGAAGTTATAAGACACGTCTATCGGGCTGTGAAAAATGCGCCATTTGTTTGCCATAATCCCAAAAGCGCATTCGATATATCTTCTGGCCCTGTTTAGACGATAATTGAAAACCTTTTGTTGTAAGTCTAGATTTTGACCACCATATGGACGCATAATATTTTTGCTCAGTCCAAAAGCTTCGTCACCCACAAATACATACGGGGTTGGTGTATTGAAACCAGAGAGTGGCTGGGGATGAGGTAATGTTAAGTTGTTGTTAATCATTAGATCGTACACTTTAGAATTTTGAAACACGGTCGAATCGCATTCTTTTCCGTATGCACCGATGTCGACAAATTAATTTGTAATTTGAATCCACAATAGCTAGCAACACAATCGAAAAGAAGCCTTTATAATTAAAAAAAGTGAGCCACTGTTTGCAGGATTACACACGCGGATGTGTTTGCCGTCGATGGCACCAACACAGTGAGGAAAATTTGCCTTTACATCAAAATCCCTCGCTATTGTTGTTTAGAATCTTTCAACTGTCAGTTCTGGGATGTTGTCTCGAAGAAGATTTGTCCATATAGCACGACAAACTCTATGTATCATATACGCAATAGTAGATTTTCCCCGTTTGCATTTGAAATGTAAATCCGTTATTGAATTTCCACTTCCTAGGTATCTGAAAAAAAAACAATTATTTTAATAATTATGACATAGATAGATAAATTCCTTATTGCTCGTAGGAACTAATTAATACTAAAAGGCGGCCTTATCGCTTGAAGTTATCTCTTCCAGGCGACCCTTGATGAAGGAAATTAAAAATTAATTAGGTATTGTGTGTCATAAGCAGAGGTCGGAATCTGTCGGTCATTCCAGGTCCGCATTCAAGTTTAAGTATACCCCGTGAGTTTTTGATTACCCGAGAAAATTTACTGTCATATTCAGACATCGATAACAAACAACTTTCACTATGTGACCAACTCTGGAATCGCGAAAAAAATAACAGCTGTTCCATACATTTTGGTTCAGTAGGTATTGCACTTTTATAGGTAACAGCTGTTATTTTTTTCGCGATTCCAGAGTTGGTCACATAGTGAAAGTTGTTTGTTATCGATGTCTGAATATGTCAGTAAATTTTCTCGGGTAATCAAAAATCACGATGTATAGTATAACTTATTAAATCTTGTTGACTATTGGTTTTGCAGGTAATGATTTAGTGAAGAAATGGAGAAGTATCAAAGATAATTTCTTCAGATACTTAAAAAAAATAAAAGAAGCATCAAAATCGGGCTCGGGCGCTACGAATCTGAAAAAGTATCATTTATATAAACCAACTTCTTTTTTGAGAAGAGTGGAATAAAATGCCACCGAATCTAGCTTAAACTCGCCTAGAGAAAGCAACACTGAATCTACGTCTACAAATGATGAAATTACTATAGACGAGTGTCCGCGCTATATTCCAGTCGCGCGCAAAAGGGCAATGCAAATAGATGAGTTTGAAAGAGAAGGATTAAAACTTCTCAAGGAGCCGGAAAATCGCCATATGTCCTTTTTCAGAGGTATATTGCCATCAATACAAGATTTTTCCGACCGAGAAACTCTCAGTTTCCAAAGTAAAGTAATACAAATTATAAACGAAATGCGGTATGGACAAACATCATCATATGTGTGTGGCCCATCAACGTCTCAACAACCATTATCATATGGGTATCAAACAACAAATTTTCAAAGTACATACAATTCTGATTATAATAATTCAATTACATCTCCAGATCAAGCATCTCAAGCAAGTGAAGAAACCGAATACGGTTTTTCAAATACGTAATTATTGGATAAAGTCTGTCTAAACTTAAACTTATGACAATTGCTGATTATTTGTTAGTTGATTACTGATATTGATTAGTTGATTATATAATAAACAGACCAAAAAAGCCTGTTATCTTTTCATTACTGATATAAATTCTTACCTTAAAGTAATTCCCAGCATTTCTATTGGTTCCACTGGGTTCCTCATATTAGTATAGTTTTTTCGTATGTGTGGTTCTAAGGACTTCAATAAACATTCGAAGCTGGATACACTCATTCTAAAAAAATCATAAAACTTCTTTTCGTCTAATAGCAACTCCCGATATTCTAACAAAAAAAAAACTCTCCATTACTATTTCTAAATGAAATGAAGGGACAGATCCAATACCGTCTTGTGATCTTGCGTCGATTTCGGCGGTGACGTAGTAATAGGAGCAATGCTAGACGTCTTTTCCAATCCATGCTTTCCTACAGACTGACTACGATGTTTTTACAAAATGCTTGCCGCAACTGTGCGTTGCCGCTGCACCGACGGAACGTTAAGACTGCGTCGTAGTAACGCTGCGATGGCGCAGCGCCTGTGTGGCCGGCTATGCGTCAAAATATTTGCGTTGCGACGACGCAACGCAACGCAACGCGCCGTGTGGACTTGCTCTAACGTATGTAACGGAGTATTTTAGTTTTTTTTTTCTCTGGGGGTTGGAGTTGGTGAGTTTTTTTGGCTGCATGGCATCAGAAAGGTATGTTTGGCTAAAAATTATTGTCCGGCTTTTAGGGCCAAAAGTCCGGCTTTTTGGAGCGCCGAGTCCGGCTTTTTCATTTTAAGAGATGGGAACCCTATATACGACACGTGAAATAAGAGTAGAAGAGGAGTTGGTTGAGCAAGTGGATGAGTTTGTGTATTTAGGATGTGTTTAGTTTTTTTTTTTATAGAACAAACGGGCACACAGTCCACCTGATGGTAAGAGGATGCTGTGGCCCATAGACATCTACATTTATCTTCGATTAAGAATCGAAATGCAGACGCGCTGTCACCCTTGAGAACCACGATGGAATGCCTCGTAAGTCCTCGTTTTCGGTTTCGAACGAAGACGCGGGTGCTGACACGCGTGGCGTACGCGTGGTGTGCGCGTAGCGAGTGCGTGTCGTCGGAACGCCCTTAGCGCTCGCTGTAAATTTCACAGTACGCGAGCGACCCGGGCTCGATTCCCGCCAGCACCAATGATTTTAGAATAGACTTATAATTGCAATTTAAGTGCTGATTTACCACGTACTCGGCGGTGAAGAAAAACATCGTGAGAAAACCAGCATGCCTGAGAAATAAGAAAAAAAATATTTCGAAGACATGTGAAGTTCGCCAACACGCATTGGGGCAGCGCGGCGGACATTTTCTTGCCCTATAACCCTCTCAGAAATGAGAGTAGGCCTGTGCTCAGCAGTGGGACGTATATAGGCTGTAACTTTAACATTTAAACCTTTTTGTAATGTGGATTACAAAAAGGTTTAAATGTACAGGTATGCTTTTGTGGTTTGGACTTGTTGAAGAATGAATGCGGAAAGAGTGGCAAAGTAAATTTATGATGCAGAAATGGCAAAGTTTGCAAGAGAATCGCTAGACGGAAGTTTACTGACCACATTGGCGATATATTGAATACAGGTCAAGTTAAGAGTACCCTTAACCGACGAGTATGTATCTGTAGATATATGGATACATAGGAGGCAGGAGAGATGTGTCAGGAATCAGGATCGTGCCAAATGGAAGTCCGTAGTCTCTGCCTACCCCTTTGCGGGACAGGCTTCAGAGGTTATGTATGTATGTACTATTTAATAACCAAAAACGAGCCAAGTGCATGTCGGGTCACGCACAAAGTAGAGGCAGGTTTCCGTAGAGTTACCCGTCACAATACGTGAACTTAGAAGGGGCATTCTTTATACTATGAGCATATTGAGTTTGTAGTTAGACCTCTATAACGACTAAAAATGGGCCCGAATAAGACGATAGTAACTGAAAGACTTATTTTCGAAGCAGAATTATAAGTAGTATGTAGTAGTATTAAAAAAATATTAAAAATACTTCGATTTTGAAAATACAGTAGAACGCCGATTATCCAAATGCCGATTAACCGAATCGCCAATTATCCGAATCCAGTCTATGTCCGATTATCCGAATCGACTCCGGTCCCAATTAATTCGGATAATCGGTATTCTACTGTAACGCAATCTACATCAAATCATTGACATGCCAAATCCATACAAAAAAAAAACGTGTGTGTGTGTGTACTTACACGTAGGAAATTATACTTCTTCCCACCAGTTCTTACGAAAACTTGAGAGACAGTTACCTACTGAAGTTGTCGCTTTGAGGTGTCAGTGTGCGAGCGCATCGTAACAACTTCATGGTGTCGTTTTTAGGTGTCGGTGTGCGCGCGCATCATAAAAAATTCACTCTCATCATTTCTCCCAAACGCCTCAAAAGAAGTATAACTTCAAAAAGGTTACAGTTCCCTATTCATCTATTAATTCCCGGCAGTGCAACCCTAAGATATACATGACTGTAACGGACCTTCCCGTAAACTACCACTGTCCGAAATTATCTTAAGGGTCGCCTGCGTAAACCAAGAGTACTACCAATGAAACTGTAGGCCTACAATAACTACTAATTAAAAAATAAGCGAAAGTGGTATGTCAGGATCGGTCTTTTGGCGATCTACATATATCCTTGCTGCCTACACCGCAAAAGAAAACGTAAATCTTCAAAAAGTATTTGGTTTTTATTAGTTTACAATAACATTACAAAGTTATAGTGCAACTAGTTTTAGGTAATTTTCTATGGAATTTTAACGAAATCTTTACAAATCCAAGTCATAAAATGTATAAGTTGGTCAGCTATTACACCTCGTGTTATACTTTTCAATTTCCAAAAATAGCGGGTTACAGGGGGGGGGGGGGGACGCATGACTCTAACAAAAACTACCACTTCAAAGCTAAATATTTCGCAAACGGACTCCTGAATGGTGAGTTGACTTGGTGCCAACCCACTTTACACCGCCACTTCCCCTGGCGGTGTAAAGTGGGTTGGCACCCAGGACGATTTTCTATTACTCGTAAGCACAAAATAATACAAAAAATGCTATACATCCTTATAGGACTTTGTTTTGGTAAAACATTCTATTACAGTATCAAAATTTACTTTCTTGACCTTTTCGATATGTAAAATGGAAGGATTACCGCTTTTGGACCTTAAGTAAGATTTAATTAACTTGAGGTTTGGAAAATTTATTCACACGAAGCTACCGAAACACAAATAGTAAAAAAGATCTAAGACACAGCGTTAGATCCAGAACAGATTTAGAATAGCCCCGTTTTACGATGAATCTGAGAAGCTCCAATGAAGTCCATTGAACCGCTTCTTGGAAAGAAATGCTGGCGGCATCCAAGTGGCGCCTCAGTCGTAAAATCTCCAAAATTATGTCTTCTGCAGACAATTCATCGCAGATTTTTGTCAGATTTGGTACTATTACACGAAGATCTTCTTCTTGTGACGTTAGCAGTTTAAGGCATAACAACTCCCAATGTTACGAGAATATCATCCATTGACCTGTAACGATGGTCTAGTTTTTCGTAAAATCTGTCATTAGAGATCAAGACATTCTAACATAGCTCTCTGCAGCTCCTCTAGCAATGTTAATCCAGCATATCGGGTCATTGCTCCTGGCAAACGTTTTCGAAATCTCTTCGTTCCTCTTCTTCTTTCAATCGAAATGTACAAGTCCTCACATTTTTTTTGTTGAAATAGCCTTTTCCATTATTTGAATACGCTGGCTTTAAAGAAAAATTTTAGGGCTTTGATTTTTATCACACATTTTTCCAGTGATAGTCCAGATATTGTACTTTTGCGTCTGATTAACTTCTTTTAGAACTTCACACCAAAGGGAAAGACAGCATAAAAAACTGAAGTCACACAAAGCTGGTAAGAGTGTAGACGCTGCTTTTCTTGTATCGATGTTCTCGACGATTTCTGCTGTTGCTGGGATCACATATATATGAGTGTTGATACAAGTTTCTCAAAATTATTTTGCAGTGGTTTAACAGCGTCGTGATGAGCACTCCATCTTGTCTCTGACAGTCTTTTGGCGGATACGCATCGATGTGTGGATGATGGAAAGAAGGTGTGAACTTTTTGTACTGTTCCGAAAAAAGTTATGCTTGAATTAACGCTCCCAAATAATTGCACTAAACATATATTTACCGAATTATTAGTACAAGGCGTAAGCAACGCTTTGGGATTACGTTTTTTGATTCTGACTTGTACGCCACCATGAACTCCTGCCTTGGTTGCAGCGTTATCATATACTTGGGCTTTTACTTACCTTCTTCGATCGCGTTAATCATTCGACTAAGCGCTACCATACCTGAACTCATTTATTTAGGAAATTAAGTGATGTTAGAAGGAAATAAAAATAAATTTGATATACATATTAAGATATAATATTAGTTTGCCGGTAGATACTATAGTAGGCAGGTTCTTAATCAAAGATAGATGTAGTCTACGTGCCATATCTAATTACCATCAGGTGAACTATGTGCCTATTTGTCACCCTTATACTTAAAAAAAAGAAATCATTACTTCTTCTTCTATATCAACCTATCAAAGTCCATAGCTAGACATAGACTGCTACAGTTGTAGAGAGGGTTTGCGTCTTTGCGATTGAATTTGATAGATAACGACGACTGCAGTACGAAATGTCTCGATTCTTAGACGCTGCTGCCGGTCGCTGATCTAAGTATTTTCCGTATCACGTAGACGAAGATAATTATACCGCTAACTATCGGAATCGGCAAATAATAAATAAGCTGTAACACCCTATTTCCTCAGGTATTGAATAGTCCAAAATCCTTTGTAAGTGAGTGTCTTTATCGAGAAAGGAGTATACAAGTATAAGCCAAGTTTCAAATAAATCGCACTGATAAAAATTTGATGAGATAAAGCACTAATTTAGATAATGTTTTTACGTAAACTTGTTATAAAATCCTACCTTAATAAATACACCCAAATGGTTTATTCATTTAGAGGCAATGTAAACACTTTCAAGATAAGCTACTATAACGTAAGATTCAAAGCTCCATTCATGAGATATATGCGATCAATAAGAATAAGACTGACCTGACTCCATATTGTGACGTCATAGCTGTCAATTCAAACCAGTTATGTAGGGTAAGCAAAACAGATAGCTTTGAAATAATATTAATTTACAAATAAATACAAAAGTATCATCGAAAAAAAGTTTTAATCGAAATCTAGCATTTAAATTTTGCTCATCTCTGCATCACTGTCTGAGTAGTCATCATCATCATCATCATCACTACTGCTTTCCCTTAGAAAAAATAGAACATGTATTTATGTGGGAATTCAAAATATTCTACCGGATGTTATTTAAAAGATTAATATAATATAGAGATAA